TACATTTTTTTTCAGAATAATGGAGACAACAATTGATCAGAAAAGAAAATTGCTATAACCAGCCAAACCATATTAGAGAATCATCGCTCATAGAAGCGCTTTCGAAGTTCAAGCAACCTGTTTGTTCTCGAGAAACGTTCGTTTTTTGTGCTGTAGAGACAAGATGTGATTCATTAGTTTTTATAATTTTACCATACGTAGATTTTACTATCAGTTATAACTTTACTCTGGATTACCTTCTACAGCTGAAGTTCTTTCTTTTCATTAAACTAAAATTCATTCAACAACTAACCACGTGACCGCAATTTACTTTTGTAACATACTTCTGACAAACTACTACTTACTTCAGGCAGTCATTAGGCAGACTAAGCTACGACAACGTGACGGCAGTGGCTTGACCAATAGCAGAGCGGCGAATCGGGCACCGGAAGTCGAGTTCAGTCCTTTCCGTGCGCTTTCCCGTCCTCCACTGACGTTCTCGTTAATCACCGTGAGTAGACACATATTCATACACGTGCCGCAGTGGATCAAAAACAGTCAAGCATTCTCGACACGACACCGCCACTTTTCTTGTTTTTGCAAAAAATGCCCGTTTTAGCTAAGTGTTAACAGAAATTTCCAGCGCTGAAAGAGTCGTATTTTTAAATGAAATATTGAAAAATGCACGATGTTAACCTCTTCTAGAAGAATTGACAAATGCCCCACCTCGGGGCAGAGGTTTTCTGACAAATTTCCAAGATGAGAAAAGCCCGACAAATGCCCGGGGGCAATAAGCACGCTTGGAATATACTGAGCCATTATGCGTCTACAGTGTAACTTCGATATAACGAAGGGCCAAGTGACTGGCAAAATCTGGTCGCTATAACGAGGTTTCGTTATACCGAGGTTCTTTTCCATATATTTGACCATTACTGGGGTAAAGATATGTAGTACCACCCAAGAGGGTATGGTTTTCAGGGTCTCAAGTCTTAAACAGGGTATGCAATAGGGCGTTTAAACAGCGACGTCTTTGAGAGACGCGCGTCAACCGGAAGTGGGCCTTTTTCTATTATATTATGCCTTGACGCTAGCAAACTTGTATTGCTAAGTGCCTTTAATCTTATAGAGAAGATCTGCTGCCCAAACATTTGTTCAAAATCACGCCTCAAGAGCACAAAAAATCCACTTCCGGTTGATGTGCGTCGTTCGAAAACGTCGTTTCTTAAACTCCAAATTTCACTTTTCAGCGTCTTGAACATTGTGTATTTTTGTACTGACAGCCTTTCAGTAGAGAAGCGTAACGGTTGGGGATGAGCGATCTACGTGTGTGGTAGCAACGATTTTTTTTTCCAAGGGCAGTCTAATTCCATGACGTTAGTTTAAAAAAATACTTCAGTTCTTCTGTATGGGGTTTTAAAAGGAATCAGGGTCTTTAATCTTGAACAAGATAGCAGAATGAAAAGCGATTTTTGTCTTAAACAGAGTCAGGTGCTGAGGGCCTCGACGGAACTCCGTAGAGACCCCCCCCCCCCCGGGCCAGTTTCTGGCATGCTTTCCATTACCCCTTTACCAATACCTATTAACTAGTAATAGTTGACACTACAGCTCCCCCCGTTTTTAGTGTATTTTTTTGGCCAATGTCCTTCTTGCTCTTTTTGTACCTTTTTGAAATATACCGATTCACCATCAAGTT